GATAAATTTTATGCGCAAGTGACCTCATTATTTTGAAAAATAATCTTTTTAATAAAATTGTGATATTTTATCTATGTCAGAAATTTTAAATGCTGTAAATTCTTAGAAATAAATTTATTTTTCTTGTCTATTGTTAGAGAATTTTAGATACTGTAAAATTATTAGAAATAAATGTGATATTTCTTCTTTTAGTAAAATTGTGATATTTATTTCTACTGTTTTTGAATATTTATACATTGTAAATTTCATATGCAAATGACTGCCTTATTATTTGAAAATTGATATTTTTGAATTTGATTACAGCATTGTCTGTGAAATGTTTATTTGCGAATTGACATCCCATAAATTGTGATAATTCTGTATTCTTGGATTTCAATAAGAGTTTTTCCATGCATACTAGATTGGCAATTATGCTAGAATGTCTTTACGAACTGCTACCTTTGTGAATTTGAGCCCAAAATATTTGACTAGTTGTTATTGAAAGTGACTGTTATTAATGGTTTCAGTGAAATTCATACTAATAATTTCAGCGATATGTTGAGTACATGATATTGCTGCTTTTGAATGTTTAAAGAGATTTAGAAATACTTTAAGTATGCAAGTGGACTCATCCGGTTCTCCGGTGAGGTATAAGTGGACCTATCAGGTACGTCGGTAGGGATTAAGTAGACTCATCCGGTATGCCGGTGAGGTATAAGTGGACCTGCAGGGATTAAGTGGGCCTATCTAGGATGCCGATAGGGATTAAGTAGACCTATTAGGACGCTGATGGGGTATATAGGTTACCTACTTGGGACGCCAGTAGGGTAATTTGTGAAATCCTTTGAATTATGCACTGCCATTAAAATATTATATGCATTTCAATTATTCGGATTATACTTAATTATGTATTTTTTAAAGTGAAACTGTTAATGTATTTCTGTTAATAGATCTCTTTTTTTAAAATATTGATATCTTTCAACCATGATTATTTTTAGGATTATGATGATCACTTACAGAGTAGCCAAACTCATCAAATTATGGTAAACATTTTTATCATGATAACTATGGTTTCATTTTGAGTGCTCGTCAGGATCAACTCTAGAATATATTGTAGTTGTGCGTAAACTTTCTTTTGTTACTTTGTAAGATTCCGCCATCGTAAATTTGTCCTAAAAAGAGATGTATATATGTTTTGACTGTCACATATCAGGAATATCAGTATTGTAAATTCTTGGGGCGTGACAATTGTGGTATCAGAGCAATAGGTTTAAGATTCTTAGGAAATTTAAAAAGAATGCACTTAAAATCACATTTATTGCGTGTACAGACCGGGACGAAGTCAAGATCCAGAATAGCTGAAGCTAATATGGAAGGAATTCACAAAGCCTTGGAAAAATATGGTTGCTCTAATGCAACATCTGATGGAAAACAACAATCCACTCAAGCAGTCAGTTACGGGAAACGGTGGGAGTAATATCAAACAATTTAAAAAATTGAACCCACTTTCTTTTAAGGGTGCTGTAAACCCACTGGAAGTCGAGGGATGGATTATGCAATTGGAGAAAATATTCGAGGTAATAGAATGTCCTGATGATAGGAAGGTGGCCTTGGCAGTTTTTATGTTAGAAAGTGAAGCACAACATTGGTGACGAATGGCAAAAGAAGTATTGGTCAAAAAAAATAAACCCTTGACTTGGGAAGTATTTTTAGAGGCATTTAATGAAAAGTATTTCCCAGATTTTATTCGAGACAAAAAAGAAATAGAATTTTTGGAATTAATTCAAGAAAATCGGACAGTAGCACAGTACGAGGCCAAGTTTACTGAATTGGCCAGATTTGCACCACATATGATTAACAATGAGGCAAGAAAGGTGAAAAAATTTGAAAGGGATCTCATACCAGCTATTAAAAGCAGAATATCAATATTAAAATTGAGAACTTATACTGAAATAATAGATCGAGTCCAAATTGTCGAAAAATATTTCGAAGATTATCAAAAGATGAAAAATCAGAAAAGTCAAGTTAGACCCACACCATCTAATCGACAACAGTTTGAAAGGGCAAACAAGAAGTTAAAGCCCTTGCCACTTCAAAGCCCAATAGAACCATGTAAAAATTATAGGAAAAAGCATGGATCGAGTCCTTGTTATTGAAATACTGGAGCCCATTTTAAATGTAGAAAATTGGGACAACAGATTAGATAATATCCTAACTTACAGATGCAACAGCTTCCAAAGCAGGGAGAGATAGCTCAAAAGCCTCAGATGAAGGGAAGAGTATTTGCGATCACCCAGCAAGATTCTCCGGCCTCAGAATCAGTGATCCAATGTATTTTTTGTTATCTTCCAAAAAGTAGCTCATTTTTTGATTGATCCTGGATCTACTCATTCATTTGTGTCACCACACTTTGCATGCCACTTAAAGGTAGAACCAGAACAATTAGAATATATTCTAGAGGTAGCCACTCCGATGGGAAATTCAAGTGACACCAATATAGTGTACAAATCCTGTGTAATAAAGATAGAAGCAAAGGGATCTGTTGGTTGATTTAATACTCCTAGAAATTCCAGATTTTGATGTAATATTAGGCATGGATTGGCTTTCTGCATACCATGCAAGTATTGATTGTTACAAGAAAATGATTACTTTTAGTATTTCGAATCAACCAGTATTTTACTTCAATGGTATCAAAAAAGACTCCCCGCCATATTTAATCTCCTGTATTCGAGCTAATCGCCTCCTTTGAAAAGGGTGTCAAGGATTACTTGCTTATATAAAAAAAGATAGGAAGAAAGAGATAAATTTGGATATCACTCCGATTATTTGATAATTTCCCGACGTTTTCCCTGAAGAATTGCCAAGATTACCGCGTAACAGGGAAATTGAATTATTGCCAGGGGTAGCCCCAATTTCTAAGGCACCTTACAGAATGGCACCTGTAGAACTTAAGGAACTTAAACAACAATTGGAAGAATTATTAGATAAAGGTTTTATCCGGCCCAGTGTGTCACCTTGGGGTGCTCCGGTATTGTTTGTTAAAAAGAAAGATGGGACCATGATTTTGTGTATCGATTACAAACAGTTGAACCAATTGACAGTGAAAAATAAGTATGCATTATCTATAATTGATGATTTATTTGATCAATTACAAGGATCACAAGTGTTTTCAAAAATTGATCTTAGATCTGGATACCATCAGCTTAAGATTAAAAGTGAAGATACTCCCGAGACAGCTTTCAGAACAAGGTATGGCCATTATGAATTTTTAGTCATGTCTTTTGGATTAACCAATACATCGGCTGCATTTATGGATTTGATGAATCGGATCTTTAGGCCCTTTTTGGATAAATTTATTGTGGTATTCATCAATGATATTTTAATTTATTCCAAGAATTAGAAAGAACATGAGCAGCATGTAAGAATGGCATTGCAAATATTAAGAGAAAAGAAATTGTATGCTAAACTTAGTAAATGTGAATTTTGGCTTGAACAAGTGATATTTTTAGGACATGTCATATCAAAGGAAGGTCTATCAGTTGATCCTTCAAAGGTTGAAGCCGTTGTTAATTGGAAACAACCAAGTAATGTGACTGAAGTTCGAAGCTTTTTGGGATTGACAGGATATTACAGAAAATTTGTGGAAGGATTTTCTAGAATCGCAACCCCATTGACTTGATTGACGCAGAAAAATATCAAATTTGAGTGGACAAGTGAATGTGATGAGAGTTTTCAAGAACTAAAAGTTCGATTAACTTCAGCAACTATTTTAACTATTCCTGAGGGGAGTGAGGGGTTTGTGATTTATAGTGATGCTTCACATAAAGGCTTAGGCTGTGTATTAATGCAATATGGGAAAGTAGTAGCATATGCATTTAGACAGTTGAAAGAACATGAGAAAAAATATCCAATTCATGACTTGGAGATGGCTACAATAATATTCGCTTTGAAAATGTGGAGGCATTATCTATATGGTGAGCAATTCGAAATATACGTCGATCATACGAGCTTGAAATACCTTTCTCTCAGAACGATTTAAATATGCGGCAGATAAGATGGATGGATTTCTTAAAAGATTATGATTGTACAATCCATTATCATTCAGGAAAAGCTAATGTTGTGGCCGACGCTCTAAGTAGAAAATCTACGGGAGTCTTAGCTCATCTAATGATCCAAGAAATGAGATTGTTAGAGGAAATAGTGGATTGGCATCCGGCCATTAATAGTGTGGTAAGTATGATTGCCAATATTAAGGCAGAACCCCAATTAATTCAACATATTTGATCAGCACAAAAGAAAGACCCTCAGCTTATAACAATTGTAGAACAGGTGAAGCTGGGAAAGAGAGAACAATTCTCTATATGTAATGAGGATTTGCTAAGATTCAAAAGTCGGGTTTGTGTCTCGAATGATGAGAGTGTAAAGAAAGCTATCTTGAAAGAAGCACATCACTCTAGTTATACGATACATCCCGGAAGTATTAAAATGTATCAAGACTTGAAGAAAACCTTTTGGTGGAATAATATGAAAAAAGAGGTAACACTATTTGTGTCTAAGTGCCTAACATGCCCGCAAGTAAAAACTGAGTATCAAAAGCCCGCTGGGTTATTGCAGCTTTTACCCGTGCCAGAGTGGAAGTGGGAGCACATCTCTATGGATTTTATCTCTGACATGCCTAGAACAAATTCAGGACATGATAACATTTGGGTCATTGTGAACCGGCTGACCAAAGCTGCCCACTTTCTGCCGATTCGCGTGACATACGCTTTGGATCGACAGGCCCAATTGTACATTAAGGAAATAGTGTGGTTGCATGGAGTTCCGGTCAGTATTGTATCGGACAGGGTTACTCGGGTTACTTCTAAATTTTGGGCTAAGCTACAGTCAGCCATGGGAACGAGACCCACCTTTAGCACTGCCTTTCACCCCCAAACTGTTGGACAATCGGAGAGGACCATCCAAACCTTGGAAGATATGCTGAGGACCTGTGTTATTGACTTT